CTCCCAAAAAATAATACTTTTATTTTTGTTTATTTTGACATATAAAAATACTTTTTTTCATACATACAAAAAAACCATTTTTGCATCTTGCATATTTATTCTTATTTTATTTAAATTGTGCAATTAAATTATCTTGTAAATATTTCAATATTGATGTAATAGTTTAGGTTTAAATTCCTTGTCGAAATCCCCATTTGAACATTTGTACCCCCCTTCCCATATATGGTTTTGTAATAGCTTAGTAAATTTATTTTCGCACTTTATTGCTTTCTAATTATACTATGTTAGAATTAGGGTTTGTATGCGAAAAAACAACGAAAATAGTTTGACCTAATTTCAAGATAAACAAGCATGAAAATGGACACACAAATCACACTTGCACCCCCTAGGGTATTCCACTTGTTGCCTTCAATAAATGGGCCATATTGCATGTTAGGTCTCTTTGGGCAAAACAAACACAAATCAAATGATCATAGTCCCTCGATGACGCTTTCAAAATGTTGCTTAAACAAATGATCAAGTCCCTTAAAGAAAATTGCCCAAAGATACTTGGCACCATTGCAATTATGGTCTAAGCGATGACCCGCGCCCGTCCCTTTCACATCCTAACATGAGATTGTCCACCAAATACAATGGTGGAACAAACTTGCTTAAAAGGGTTAAAACATAGCAATAATCTTTGAGAAATTTAGGAGTAGATAACCTCTTAGTTACTTGAATCAAACTTGCAAAAACAAAACACTTGCCTATTCTCTAAAACCACACTTCACAACACTTTCGAAACAACTTTCAAAAACAAATGTAAACCTTTTTAAAAGACATACATCTTTGTATACATCCCAACATGGATCATTACAAAGGTTGCCACCGCATTGGTTTCTTTTCAAAACATTTTCAAACCCACACACACAAGCACCATTTCAAACAATTGAAAACAAAAGGCAAGTGATCTAAGCAAGTAACTAAGAGCCCATGGATAACCATGGATAGAAAGGGTGCTAATACCTTCCCTTTCTATAATCTACTCCCCGAACCCAAGAAAACATCTCAAAAGGTTTTTGCTGTGCTTTTTAACCTTTCCTTAGGATAAAATAAAAAGTCGGTGGCGACTCTTGCTCAACCGAAACATTTGCGAAAACAAACGCAAAACCATAGTCAGTTCTCCCACCGTATCACAACTGCCATACTGATTTTTGTAAGCTTCATCTTTATTGTTTCCTCGATCTTGAATGATGTATTAAGGAAGAAGATGTCGTGGAGTTTATCTTTATTGATTGCTTCCTCAATCTTTGTTGATGGCACGAGGAAGAAGATGTGTTTGAACCTGTGCTTAGATCATTTCCTCAATGATGTATCGGTGAAGGATATATTCTTGAATCTTTGCTTAGATGGCCCAATTCTCCTGGGATTTGAATGCATCATTGAATTAATTGAAATCTACCCTACCCGTGGTTGAAATTAAGGGTTTTCTTTAGAAAATAGAATAAAACTCCAACTTCTGGTTCGAGGGGGTTGACTACAGATTAACTCCCTTATTTCTCCACTGTTTAGGATTTGAAACAATGTCTTACATCGTCATCTCTATCTTACATTGAAAGCATAGTTTAGCAAAATTTAGTTATTTAGTTTTCACCATTCTCTGTCAAAGTTTGCTAAAGTGGTGAAATGGAAGATGGAAGTGAACACTTAATATTTATGGAAAGTGATAAATAGTGAATACGAATGGATTTATTTCAAAACATGCATGCTCATTTTATTAGTATTACTAATCAAAATATGCAAATTTACACCAAATACAACTTAGCAACTTGGAAATTATAAATTAAAATTGATAAAGTCTAATGATCCTAGAGATGAGCTTTTTTGTTGATCCACTGACTTTAGGAGATGCTTCGTAGTTCTTGGATTGTTGAAGCAAGGGGTGACCTTTATCCTTTCTTTTGTTGGGCGTACCTCTTTTACTGATAGGGCAATTACTGTTGTTGATGTAGGGGAGTTACCCTTAGTAGTGGCATCTGAGACGTTGTGCAGACCTGTAGTCATCTTGGTGATGGGTTTCCCTCTTTCTCCATAATAATATTTGTAGGACTAAGCTCCATTGAATCTCCAATGCTTAATCTTCTTCTTCCATAATTTTGTACTTTCTTAAGTTCATTTGCGGGTACCAAGAAACCAACTAGCATATATGTAATAGTTGGATAAGGGCGAAGGCAGAAATGCATGAGATGCAAATGTATGAATGTATATGAATGCATGGGTATGCAAAAATATTTTTTGGCTTTTAAGGGTATGCAAAAAAGTTTCATGGATATGCGACGCGGACGTAGTATGAAGGTAAACATAAGGGTACCATATACGAATTTAATGATAGACATGGAAATGAGGATACCCTATACTGACTCAAAGATTGAGACAAACAGGAACTCCTTAAGGATTATGGACCTGTACTAACTTAGAGATTAAGACAAACAGGAACTCCTTAAGGATTATGGGCAATGAAAAACAAAGAGGAATCCTTACAATCTAGGAATTATAACAGAGGGACAGGAATTCCTACATGCTAGAAATTGTGATAGACCAACAGACGGTTGAGATAAAGATTGGACTTGAGGGAATAGTGTGGAAAAGAGCACACGGTGACTGGTCAACAATCACCAAATCCCATGGCCTGATATAGGCCACATGGCGTGCATTAGCGAGAACATCTTTCATGGGAAAGTTTCATATGGAGGTCCAGATCCTAAGGTTCTAATGACAATGACGGGCCAAAGGAGGCTCCCTATGGGCTAAGGACAGTAACAGACACATGAAAGTCCCTACAAGCCATAACATACTTAATGGAATCCCTATGGACCTAAGGATTGTAATTGACAAATAGAAACCCTCGTGGACTTAGGGTAGTGAATACCCTATACGGGTTTAGGGTATTTGAATAACCTATACCAGTTATGGGATAAATATAGAGATGAAGATACCCTTACAGGTTAAGAGGACATGATGTTGATAGAATAACTTATAGGAGAGCTCCTATAAATGTTCTAAGCTTTTCTACCCTTCCCCATAAGGTGTCTTATTTAAGGGTATCATGGATTACACTATAGGGAAAGACATAAGGGTCTCCCTTAAGTGGAGCCTCATTGTAGACCAAAACTTTCGTCTCTAAGGTCATACAAGGTCTCACCATGAGATTTTGGTTAGGGGTTATACAAAGATTCGTAGGTTTCATTCTAAAGTCCTACCCCCCAAGAGGATGTCTCTTGAGACGTATTCCTTTTTTTCAGAATTCCACCAACTCTAGGCGAAGTCGTCACATAAACTCATAGGGCTGATGTATCCCCTTGGCTAATAGACGAACCTTCTTTCTAAGGGTTTTTGAAAAATATTTTTTTTAAATAAAAATGAAAATCCCAATATTAAATGATAATAAAAAAATGAAATAAATCAAAATAAATGTAAGCAAATAAATAAATAAAAGCAAAATTTGAAAACATCAAAGATCCCCAAAAAAACCCTAAACCTAAGAGGAAGACTTCTAAACTCTAGGGCTGAGTCCCCAACAAAGTCTCCAGCTGTTGTAATCGGTTTTGAAATTGAGAATTGTCACCCTTAATTTTTATCTTTATGAAGAGAATATAAAGAATAACCCTAATTTAGTCAGAGATTCTAAGTTGTTGGACTCGTTCTTAGACGGAGGGAAGGTGTTAAGCACCCCTCATATACATTGCTCACAAGGATACTAAGATTTAGAATTACTGCCTAGGAAATAGGATTTTAATTTTTATTAGGGGAACTCGCCATGATTTTAGTCGTATGCCTACGTATCCTCTTATGAGGAATCAGAGTCCCAATTCGTAGTTTGTAGTTTGGTTGGTATTTTTTTATAGGATTGCGTAGAATTACAGTTAACTTTGAAAGAAATTCTCCTCAATCCTTTTTACGAAAATATCCTAGATTTTGTTATATTAGTAGAAAATAATTTGATGTTGTTGGCTAGCTGTTTTTGAATTTCGATTGATCGAGTATGGTAGGACGTAAAGCGGGGGGAGTCTAATAAAGTCTCCTAATCATGTGGTCAGATATCGACCATGTGTCACTCGCGAATGAAGTATTTGGTTAGTCGCGTGGACTTTAACATCTTTGTAAAATATTGAATTTATTTGGTTGTGGAAAATATATGAATGTGTATAAAGTTAGTGATTTATGTATAAGTGAGAATTTTAAAAGTGAGAAAAATATTTTAATTTGATCGGGAGAATTAAAAATATTTACAAGAAAGTTTAATTTGTTATTTAAAAAAGGATTAAACATATTCTTTGTTTTTTTTTTCTTTATTGATTAAAACAAAAAAAAAACTTAAATTAGAAAGTCTGACTAAGAGATAAATTAATTTAATCTAATTTTTAACTAAGCTAACCTAAAAAAGATTAATTAAAATCTAATTAAAATTCTAAATGAAATTAACTAAGCGGAATTACATATAAATTAATTATTAAATTAATATGATTAAAAAAACTAATGAGAATAAAATATTTTGTATTTTGTATTTTTTTTATTATAATAGAAACCTTTACGTAACCACCACGTAGTTTTGCTGTCATTTAAATTTTAATGGACTTAAGTGTCTTCATGTATTTCATTTAGTAATCTAATGTATACTAACATAGAGAGAAAGTAAGAAGAGTCCTAAAACTCATCTTGACAACCCGCGCTTAAAAACACTCATAGTGAGAAACGACAAAGATAAAAAGGTTCTCCGATTTTGTAGAGATAGTTCATCGATAATGGCTTAAACTAGAAGCGACATCCAACAACAAAAAAAGTATACATATCAAGAAAACGGATTTGCAACACCAAATAAACAGAAAGCATGTCAGAGATGGGGAAAATGAACAATACCGTAAGAGATCAAAGAGATGTCGAAATCAACAGAGTTTGTCTCCTAACGAGTTCTGAACGTGACTTGGAGCGGTGATTGGTTGATTCGCATCAACAGAGGTGCGATGAGGAGCTTCGCAGATTTGGAGGGGGGTATAGCAGCGACTGGGATTCATGCTCGCGATTTGGATGGCTTACGGGGTTTCGATTTGCGCGTGTGGCTGAGCGGTCGTCGTTGGAGAGCGGATGATCTATTATCAGATGCGTGTTTCATCATGGATCTGGTGAGTGCTTCAGCGGGGTTTTATCAACAGCCGGTACACGTGGGAGGGAGGCTGGTCAGACTGCTTGTGTGCGAGGGGGCGAACGAAGCATCAGAGAGAGTCGTTGCCGGCACGACTGTTCCTCAATTCTTCTTCCTGTTCTCACTGAAACACAAAGCTATCTACCAATTATTAGTGAATTGATTGCCATGGTAATTTATATGGTAGTGAAGAATGTTAATATATGTTAGTAACTTTTGTGCTTGGAAATTATGCAGGTAATGATTAATTAAGATTTATGTTATTGTTTGTTAAGAACAAATAATCTACATATTTATGTTTTTGGTTATTAGTGAGGTATGAAAGAAAAACAATAGTGGAATGGGGTTTGTAATTTGTAATGACAAAAGATTTAAAGAATGGTTAGTTTACTGCAACATGACAAGAAGGTTGACTCAAAAAGTTTAACTTTTGTGCGTAATGAAATTATGGATCAAAGCGAAGCTAAAAAACTATGAGTTTTTTTAAAAAGGAGTTTGTGTTATTAAAAGATTTTTTTAATCTACAAATACAATGAGTTGGTGTGTGAAGAATATCTAAAGGTTAAATTTGTTAGTTCATAAAAATATAATTTTTTAGAAAAGATAACCATTAGAGAATCATCATCCGGTTTTTAAAAGCAAATAAATCAAAATTAAAAGATACAATTGAAAATAAAAGAGAGGGGATGTGGCCTCATATTAAAATCTTTGACCAAAATTGTGAATGAGATTGTTGTCTGATACAGTCAACAACCCTAAAGCAAGAAGAATTGTAAGAGCGAGATAGTAAGTTTGTGTTGTGTATGATTGCGAAATTATGGATTTTGTAGATGAAATTGTTTGATGGTTGTGGATGGTTGTTGATTTGTTGATGAAAAATTAGGACAACAATGAGTCATATTTATAGACTTAGAGTTAAGTTTGAAATACTTGGAGACTAATTTATCTAAAATAAATAAAAAGCCCAAAGTCTGATCTTTAAAAAATGAAAGAAAATTAGTGACAAAAAGGAATAGAAAAAATGTTAAAAGTGAATCACAAGAGATTCGAATCCATGACCTTATGCTTCCAAGCTATGCTTTCTTGTCAATTGTTCTATGTTATTTATTTAAAATAAAAAGCCAATTGAAAGTATATGAAGAAGAACAATTATTTGCTATTTCTTAAAAATACAAAAAATTATATAAAATTATATTTTTAAATAGACTCGAAAGCGAATATTTATTAAAATCCTAAAATGTTAATGTAATTAAATCAAATGAATTTTAAAACTCAAGTTCGAAAATAAATTTGACGGTAGCACTAAGGACGGACAAATATGAGGTATGATAGTCATCATCAAAATGGGGTAGATTGTGAGAACAAGATTGATTCTACATCTGGACTTAAGTTTTTATGATAACTTTACATGTTATCTTAGAGAACAATTGTACACTATAATGATTTATGTCTAGTGTGTAGTTTTTGATAAACATGTTTTTGACTCTGGTAAGAAGCCTTGTGACGTCATCAGGTTATGAACTCAACACTCTGGAAGAATATATTTGGTGTGTTACAAGTTAAGTCAAGGTTCTAAGAATGCTTCGTATGCAACGGTTCTAAGAAGCGTTAGTAAAAAAGCTTTTGATCGTGACTTATGCAAGGAATCTTTTAAGGCCTTCTAAAGCTTTATTTCTGATGTTCAAAGTTCTGAAGATGTCGAAGACAAGGTTTTATTTAACAAGTTCTAAAGATTTAAAAACATTGTGAAGAACAAGTGGTGAAGACTCTAAAGACAAGGGTTCTCTGAACAAGCCCTGAAAGACTCTAAAGACTTAAGTTCTGAAGATACATAATTCTGATCCTTCTACGATATGTTTCATCAACAAAACAAATCAGAAGTCTCTGAAGACATAAAAGAGGAATATCAAGATTAAGGGATTGCGTGTGATGGTGGGTATAAAAGTACAAAAGTATATTGTGACCTCTACTCCCTAGAGTGGTGCAAGGATATACCTTTTTGTACTATTGTCCACCAGTCTCACCATCACTGTTGGGAACAAAACAATTGTATTTGTGTTTACTATTCTATCCTCCAATGAATCTCTTCTTTCAACTATAAAATAAGTACTTGGAAGAATTTGAAATCAACGAATCAGTTATACAAAACTACACAAAACCGCCGCACAAACTCTGTAGAGTAATTCTTTGTATAGTTTTGTAAATAAGCAATGAGCTTTTGTTCGTATCTTGCTATTAACACTTGTGTTGTTGTACTTAAACATTGTGTAATCTGCTTGTGTAGAATCATCTTTGTATACACATCTTTGTAATCAACTGTTGTTGATGGGTTCCTTGAGAAACTTTGTGTAGTCTCGATTCTCAAGAAGACTTTGGTTGCGGTCATAATAGATTTGCAATAAGGATTAGCGAATTTATTAGGGGTACCAATAGGATTGATTAGACTTATTGTAGTTGTATGTAATCTGGTTGATTATAGTGGATTAATTCCTTATGTATAAGGCAAATCACTTTGCAGGGTGGACTCAAGTAACTTTGTTAATAGTGAACCACGATAAAAATAATTGTGTTCATTTATTTTTAGTCACTTGTTAATCGTTGTATATGAGTTGAAAAAAAATTATATTTGATATAACCCAATTCAAATTCTCATTTTTTGTGTTTCTCACATCTTCATCAACAATCTTGATAGTCACTTCATTAATACTCCCTTGGTTTTTTTATAAATGTCTTTTTGTGAGAGAGAGAAAATATATGAAAATGATTAAAAGTTAAAGATATTATTGACCCAAAAAAAATTATAATTTTTATATCTAACATATTATGTAAAAGACCATGGGTCCGACCTAACTAATTAAAAAAAAAACTCAATTTTTGCCCTCTCACGTACAAACCCAAACTTGTCATTCCCTATTGTATCTCTGATCGAAACACGTGTGCTGTGGGTCCATGCAAACGTGGCAAGGAGTGAAAACGAAGCTAAAAATATTCTTTCATCCCCGCTACTGCACGCATGCAACATCATCCTCACTACACATTCAATTCTACGCTTCTACCAACTTTCTCTCTTTCCTAATTTCCGATTGCTCTTTCCACCCCATACTCCCTCATCCATACCCCAACTTCCCTCCTCTCTCTCACCGATATTCTCGTGTAAGTTAGGGATACGCTCGCATCAGAATGAGTTTTCAAGACATAGAATCCGGCCGCCGCAACCTAATCAACGGCAAACAGAACCCGACGCAGGCGGTTGCTTCCGGCGTATTTCAGATCAACACCGCCGTCTCCACTTTTCAGAGACTCGTTAACACACTCGGAACCCCCAAAGACACGCCAGAACTCCGCGAGAAGCTGTGAGAGATCACTGCACCACGATCGTTTTTCTTCATTGATGAATCGGGAAATTTGGTTGTTACTTCTATTTTAAGATACTGATTGTGTTGATTCGTTTTCTGTTTCTGTAACGTACAGGCACAAGACGAGACTTCATATTGGACAATTGGTGAAGGATACGTCGGATAAACTTAAACAAGCTAGTGAAATTGATCATCATGCTGATGTTAATGTGAGTTTCAAGTTTGAAGTTTTCAGTTCTATTTTCTTTTTCTATTGCATGTGCAAATAAATCGGTTTATTGGTATCTTATGTTCAAATTTGTAGAAATCATGAGTTTCTTTAAATGAATCTTATGATCAAGTTTTTGAAAAGTTGTGGATAAAATGCAATTACGCCCATAAACTGCAATAAAATGTCTGTACTATAATTTTTTGTTGCATGGTTATCAAATCAAATAGTGATTTGAAGACCTATTTTTCTTTTTGAATTGCAATCAAATCTTGTCCCTAATAGATATACACACTAGGTAAAGTTTTGTATTGAATAGAGATACGTTACGACTCATATGTATCATAAGATACTAGTAACCATGGTTATTTATTGTTGTACTAGTGACGTGATCTCAAACTTTTTTTACTTGAAAATAAAATGAGAAGAGATTTTCCATGTTTTTTTTTTGTATTTGCAGGCAACCAAGAAGATAGCAGATGCTAAATTAGCCAAAGATTTTCAGACAGTGTTGAAAGAATTTCAGAAGGCACAGCGTCTTGCTTCCGAGAGGGAGACAGCTTACACTCCTTTTGTTCCGCAAGATGCTCAGCCATCCAGGTGACTGACCAATGTCTTTGGAGTTCTAGTCGAAGGGGCAAGATTGCTAATGTGCTGTTGTTATTAGTTTCTATTACCCTTGCTTACAACTGTACAATACTTATAGCATGGGCTTTTCTTTCTGCCCTGCAGCTATACAGTCAGTGGAGTAGGTGTTAGTTCTGATAAAAGTCAAGAGCAGCGTTCCCTTCTTGTGGAATCTAAAAGGTGATTTCTTGTATCTTATCTTCTAGTAAATGAAATGATTTGCAGATCCATTTTCACGGTATTGTATATTTAAAAAATTATGAGATATCTACCTTCCTCATAATAAACTTTGGATTTTAATAGTTTGCAATATAACATATGATGTGATAAAGTACAAAACAATATTTTGAATGAATTTTAAAATCAAATGTTAGAGTCATGCATTTTCTAATTTATAATTATGATGCAAGAATATAAACAATGTACTTCCTTTCTTTTTCTTTTTCTTTGGTGTGGGTTAGTAGTTCGGCAACACGATAAATGACAGGATTCACACATCATTAAATTTGATGAAAAACTCACCATCAATTATTAGCCAAAAGGCTACATCTTGAATTCAACCTATTGTAGTATATATATACTCCATATAAGTTACATTAAGCTGAAATGGAATTGATCCAAAAGGTGTGTCTTCTTCTTTGTAAGTTTTCTGGGTGGTGCAAAAGATTTGATGAAATGATCACTGGCGGCACTCTGTCATATGAAACTAAATTTGTTGAAAAACAGAAATTGCATCTATATTATCATAAGGCTACTTTTCAAGTTTAGCCATTTGCATCTTTTTAGTTCTTAGCTCTTAAGTTATTCATGCTGCAGACAGGAGGTAATATCCTTAGATAATGAGATTTCCTTTAATGAGGCTATCATCGAAGAAAGAGAACAAGGCATTCAAGAAGTCCAACAGCAGATTGGGGAAGTAAATGAGATCTTCAAAGATCTTGCTGTGCTTGTTCATGAGCAAGGGGCAATGAT